TATTTAAAATATCATTTCATGAATACACATGAATATACATAAAATATTCCACATAGCAAGTAAGATATGTAATCATCATGATCATAGTTCGATTCATAAATTTCTTCATTAGTCGTTGTACGGACATGTATAACGTTGTTACTCACCTTAATAGTTAGATATCTTACTCCTTTTAATTTGTTATTGCCTTTTAATCACCACATATTGATTATCAAATGGCTACAAAATGACCAAAATACCCAAATGAGGGCTCCTAACATCATGACCTCGTTTTTTACTTTAAACCCTTATTATAAGTCTTCATGGAAGTTTTGGGGGGAATCAGTAGTCAAACATTATTTGAATAAAAAAAGTTGGATTTCAACTTGGGCATCTAGGAGAATACATAGCCAGTGTGGATTTGCTCTTGGAAAACCAACATGTAAACTTTCGTCGTGGGTCACTAATAGAATGTGTTCAAGTATAAATACATATTTATACACCCACAATGAATTAAAGTGATTGGATTTATGTTATTCCTTTATTCGAAGATTTTTCCCACCAATAAAATCGGTGCCTATAACCGACCTTAGAAGGTTTTCATTCTGTGTTGACCGGTTTAAAATTCCACTGGTTGTTCCATCTTTTCTTCATTTATATTTTCATCAAGGACATCCCTAATTGAGTGTACCTCAATACATCGATTAAGGATGATACAGTTTCAATTCGAAGTGCTCACTCTTTTTGTCTTTCACTAATATCCCTACGAATCAAGGCGTCGGCCACAATATTAGCCTTCCGGATGATATAAAATGTTTACTGTAACATACACGTTCAGTTATCGTGTTATGTAATTTTAAAAGTGAATAATATAATGAAATATTCTATGAATTTGAGCGTTGAGTTCTAACAGATAGTTTTTACTAGAAATGAAGTAAAACTATGTTTAGAATCACTCGGAAAATATTGGAAGTCTTATGAGATTTCAATCAAAAGTCAGATATTGAAATTTAACGAAAATATAAAATTTGAAAATAAGTAAAATTATATTATTGAAAGTTGTAAAGAATCTCGTTAGAAACATTTAGATGAAAACCTCATCGAAATCCCTAGTTATAACGAAGAAGTTATGACCAATCGAAGATCCGTGACAGAACCGGCACGACGCCGTATGACGTAAAAAGTGAGTTTTCGATAAACTACTTTTTAGCTTTAGTAATCTAAACGAAAGTCGTAGTATTCGTTAAACCGAGAATTTTCATAAAAAGAACGTCCAAATCTGACTTCGTATGAGGAAGTTATGATTTTTTTAAGTTTCGGAATAACAGTAGATAGCTAAAAACTCGAAATAAAGATCGAGTGATTTTTAACCGACACAACCTAAATGAGAATCGAAGGTCTCGACAATAATAGTACAACAGTAACAATACAGGCGAAAACAGACGTCGGATGAAGAAGTTATGGATTTTTAACGGACTTTTCCTGTCCCGGCCCGTTAAAAATATAATATTAAAAATAAAGTCAAAATTAGCCGACGGAGTCTAAATGAAAGTTGTAGAGCATAATTTCACCTACGCGTGGATATAAAGAACGTCAAAAACGGAACTCGTATGCAAAAGATATGAATTTTTGAAATTTTTAAATAAAAATAAATAAAAATTCGAGACTTATCCGAAGCCGTACGCCCAGCGTACTCGGACTAAGTCAGAAGTTGGCCACGTAGCTCCTTTCTTCACAAGATAGACACGTATCACGCTTGCATGACACGTCCGAGGCACAAGATCCGAGCAGCTGCTACGCCTCGTACGCCCAGCGTACCGAAGTACGTCCAACGTACTCCGAGGCTTCGGCCAGCTATAAAAGGGATGCGAGGCTGCCCGATTTTAGGTTACAAATTCTTACATCTTTATCTCTCTACTCTCCTTTTTACCTACTTTTAACCCCCCGAGGTCCCGGTATCATCCCCGACACCCGAAGCAAGTCCCGACACTCCGAAGTTCCCGTGAAAATCATATTTTCAAGTCGAAACTCTGCCCGAGTAAGGCCCGGTTTTCAACTAAAATCTCCGGTTTCGTCACAGAAAGTCATTTTTAGAGTCGAAGTGCTGCCCAAATTAATACTTTAACCCCGGTTATTTCACGGTGAGTTCAATATATAGGAACAATTGTATGTTATGTGTTATATGTGTTATATGTGCTTTTCCATGTTATTTTCCCGTGTTATTATTTCGTGCTATTTTGATAGCAAAGTTGTACCTTTGGCCATGTGATCAGTGAAAGCACTTAAATTCACAATGGTATTGGTATGTAGCCTCTGGCCGTGTAGAACATGTCTCGCAAGAGAATGACTTCTACCCCTATGACATTGGCAGAAGGTTAGATAGGGCTCAAAGCCTGAAATCTACAAAATGTCAAATATTATTTTTGAATATGCATGTAGCATGTTTTGGAGTAACAATGTGTCGAGTATGAAAGTTTAGGGGTTCTTTCATTAACATAATCCTTATTTACTTCCGTCATGTCCTTTATTTCACATTCAAATATTTTTATATTAAACGAGTATTGCAAGCTTTCATGATTATGTAGTGTTGTCAAATCTTCAAAGCATAAACAACTGACTACTTCAAATCATATGTCTGATAATTCACCTTGTCGACCTAAAACTTTGGGATGCATGAGCAATAACTTTATCATGTTTTGTGAGAGCACAACTCAAACCCTTGCATAAAACATCGTTATACATAGTGTAGGAAATTATAGGGTTTGTGGTGGAGATCTGGATACCAACTTGGATCGTGAGAACACTTTCTGAACTGATATTTTCTACCCTATGCCTGGGTTGCAAGAAATTCAGCCTAGGATAATCCAAGTGGACACTTACGATTCTAGGCACAGAAATTGTAAGCCAATTTGCTAGAGAGATTCTGTGAGAGTTTGATGAAAACGATAGCTAATGATCGTAACCTTCTTCTGATAAGGAAGAACCGTTTATATATTAAACAAGATTAGGGTTTCATTAGGGTTGGGCCGTCATTAGTTGCTTTGGAAGCAAGTCAGGATAATCTGGATCTAATGAGGATTTAGGGTTACCAAAACTAACGAGTTTCGTTAGTTTTACCATAATCACCCTCAAGAAATTGAATTTTCCACTATGTTCCCATATGTAAAATTCGGTGAGGTTTTGGGGCGCTGACCCAAACCCCGCGGGGGCGCTGCCCCTAGACCCCGCCAAAGGGGCGCTGCCCCTTTGGAAACCTCGGACCCAGGGGCGCTGCCCCCGGACCCCCGACTAGTCGTCGAACCGACTTCTAATTCGATCTTATACATGTGTGCACTCCGCACAACTCGGTACATATATTAGAGTACAAATTATGAAGTCATTTAAAAATAAAAATTTATAATAACGATAATGATCATTTTTTTCTGGGTTCGTCCTGGGACTTTGAGAATATTTTATTTTTTAGGACCGACCCTACTTGGTAATTGGACTAATTAGGTCATGGGACTTGTACCAATACCATACAACGTTCAAGCAATGTTTCAACATAACACTAATGCTACTAGGATAACATATCAATTCTCAAAGAAGTCTACCTTACTGATAAGAGATAGTTCACATGTCATACAAATGCTACAAAACATTTCCTTGAACACGTCCAAATTTAAATAGTGTATCAACAATCTCAAACATAAACTAAGATATATTATTGAATCCAAAGTTTTCAATCTCTTATCAATGTTAGAAAAGTTATTAATTTTTTATTTTTTCTGGCTTGATGTTACAATAACAATTAATTTATATAAAAGGTTGTCATGGCATTTAAAAATAAATATATATAATTTTACCTTCTGTTTTTTTATAATCCATGGCTAATATTACAAAATGTTCCTTTTATGTCTTTAAATATTTAACTATAGTGCCTAATCATTTAGCAATATTATATATTGAATTTAATCTATACATACAAGATTGGTCAAAGCAAGAAGAATTGGGGGTTGCAGCAACGACAAAAAGAATCATGAGCATAATAATTTGGTAATGTGTCCTCTCTAAACGGTCGTAGATTTAGAATAAGGGCCCTCTGCACTGTCAGTGTCCACTGGGAAAAAAAGTGGAAAATAAATTTTAATGAATAACGTTTTGATAGCTTTTTAATGTTATTTTGATTGCAAATATACATATTTTAATTTTTTTTCTTAGGAAGATTATCTAATTATTTTTTTCATAAACCTAAATTATCGTACTTTCAAAGGAGTCGCACCACTTTTTTTAACCCATTAACGCTAGAAAGTATCTCTTGTAATTATATTTTAAAAAAATTATTTGTATTCAATTTAAGTATAATTAATCATTTTAAAAAATATATATAGTGACATATTTGAATGGAAAAAAAGTTCTATAGCCAAACATGACAAACCAATAAATTTTGTTATTACCAAAGAGTTTCTTTGTCAATCACGTGGTATTATATCAGGTATTGTCTTTCTTTTATAAATTCGATCGTTTAAATGATATAAGTATAATCAGAAGTAGTTTAAAAAATAAATTAGATTTAATGTTTAAAAAAATGTTCTTATTATGTGAGCTTAATCATATTAGAAATATGTATAAGTTAATTATTTCAGTATCCAACATATGTGACTAATCATACAAGAAATATGTATAAGTTAATTATTTCAGTGTCCAACATATGTGACGTAAGTTTGAACTAGTTAATGTGATAAAGTTTGAATGAGTTTGGAGGGAATCTTTTCAATAAAACATTTACTACTTACTGTTTACTTTTATATAACTTGAATACATATTTTTTATTGTTGTACTCCATTGGTCCTATATATTAAAGCTTGCATCCTTCATGCCTTTATTCTTCTGCATACAAGAAAGCAAAAGATGATGGAGGAGCTGTTTACTGCTCCACAGCCAAATGTTTCCACTAATTCTCAAATTCTCAAACCTTCACCACCGGCGCCACCGTCTTCCGCCACCAATACTCCCAACTCCTCGGAAAACCACCATCTGAGATGCCCACGATGCGATTCCTCCAACACAAAGTTCTGTTACTACAACACTACAACCTCACTCAGCCACGCTACTTCTGCAAGACTTGCCGACGTTACTGGACTAAAGGTGGAGCCCTCCGTAATGTTCCCATCGGTGGTGGCTGCCGGAAAAACAAGGGAACCACCATAGCAGCTGCTTTAGCAAACCATAATATTTCCAACACCTCAAAGCTGAAGGCGGTTCTTTCTTCCGAGCTCGGAAAAACAGGCTTCATGAACGGGTTTCAGCATTCCGACCCGATCTTTTGGGCTAGCTTACCTCAAACCTCTCATCTTCTTCCCTTACTACGACCCACACAAAACCCTAACCCTAATTTTGCGTTAAACCCAGTCACCCACACAAACACGTTCAGTTCATCTTGGAGAAACAGTCAAACGGAGCAAAATCAACGTGAGGAAAACGGAGGGATTATAAACACAGGAAACAATCTTAATCTAGGTCGAATGTATCAACGGATAAGATCGTTTCCAACAAACTATAATTACCATCATGATAATCAGACACCACCTGTGATGAATACTTTATCTTCATCTGTAATGGAGTCTGCTCCCGCTGTTTCAAATGGTGAGTCGGGTTTATGGAATCCGACACCTCCATGGTCGGATCTGCTGTTAACCAATGCTGCATATCGTTAAATTAATAAACTTTTTATACACAGTTTGTGTTTGTACGTAGCTCATGCATAAAATTAAGAGAAAATTAGCTAGCTAGCGTTTAGTGTTGCATGTTTGATGGTTGTACTTGAACTATAGATGTTTAACTTAGATGTTTTTTTTTTCCTTTTTGTTAAAGTGATTAATATAATTTATTCGCATGAGGTTTGAATTTCATATCCATCTATACCGATCGTGGACTAATGGACAAATTAACAACAGATATTGAAAATCTTTTATGTGGTTTTCGAGATCTTTAACTAATTAAGTGACAATAAAAATATGCTTGTGGCATAATTGATTGCAAAACTTGTTAGTGACGGAATCTTGAACGTAATTGGTGAAAAATTGTAATTTCACTAAATGGTATCACATCAAATTTTAGAGCTTTGTTCCGATGGCATATATCTTATAAAAAACAATTTGTATTATTTTCGTCCGAACACGTTTAACGGGAAACATTTGATTGACTTATTAATAGAATTAGCATATCATATAAAAAATTGAGTTTCGCTTTCGGTTATATAATCAAATTCATGGTACTTTATATTTGCATAACAAATTTTTACCTTATAAAAGGCTTACATAACTCAAAATTAATTAACTGTATTCAGTAAAATTATAGGTAAAATACAAAAAATCACAATATACATTACTATTTTATAGTGCTTGGATGATGTGATTGATATTCCATGTCAATCTAATTTGTTGATCACAAGAATGACTCCAATTGTGTCATACTACTGCTACCAAGGCTAGTTGTCCTTTATCATTTTTTTTGGGTGATGTTAAATAGACACGGACACCCTTAAAATAAAATCAATCCATCATTAACCATTTGTAATCAACATTTTCAGAAAAAATGTATTTTTAATGAATAAAAGTAATTCAACAATTAGACAAGGTGTCTAAATAGTAAAATTAGTAAAAATGAGGTGTATTTTTAACAATTTTTTTTAACTTATCATTCTCTTCATCCTTCTCACTTAGGCTAAAAGATGTGTATTTTTTGTCAATAGTAAAAGGATGTCACCTAGGTGCCACATCATCTTTTATATTTTTTACAAATTTTACCTACAAACTAGGGTGTGGTAAATGGTTTTATCTATGATTTTTTTTAATTTCAGTTTTTTATTAAAAACTATACTAAAATTAAAATTTTACATAAAATTAAAATTTACATATTAGAAATCCTAAAAATAAAAAATAACATGAAATTAAAAATTGCATTAAAAACCTAAACAAAAACCTTAAGTGAAAAATTAAAAAAACAAACATAACATCCAAATTTCAGTTGCGTTTGAGCTTATATTTTTCACGAATCGTAGTCTTCACCAATTTAGCCGCCTCCTGATCTTTGGGGTCGAGGTGTCTCACATGTTGCATCAACGACGAATGTCGGACCGTTTCAGCCATATGCTTCTCCAAGATTGTATTCAATTGTGTCATTTGTGCCATCATTTCCTCTGATCTAGTTGACCGCTCCGTTCCGACTGAAGAATTTGACGATGTCACTTTTTCATTTCCTTTTCCTCGAGCTATTGCTTTGTCCTTCCCATGGGACGAGGAGGCGAGTGTATTTCTTCGATGTCGTCGTTATCATCGTTAAGATCAACGCGAATGTGACCTTCCGATGATATTTGTTGTGAGCTCGAATATGAAAATGTTCAACTTCTTTTTTGCGGATTAGCGATGTCTTCATGTGTTGCAAGATCCTTCCACCTAATGCTTCTTTTGACAACTTCTCACACATGAATGAACTTAAAAGGCTTCAACATGTCATCTTTGAATTTCACGTTCATTTTTTTCAAAAAACTTGCTTCACTTTCTGTGACATCCTCATTTTCACGACCAGAAAAGACCGATTTTGTTTATGCTTTATTTAAAAATCAGAGTAACATTTTAAATAAAAACGTTGTGGAATTTGTTACCAGAAAAACATGATAAATACGTTATCAAAGCATTTCCGAAGAAATGTATTTTTATCCATTTTAAAATATTTGGGATGTCATCGTCAATACAGAAACATAAGCATAAACAGATCTTACATTCATTTACACTAGTGATCTACATCTCTTTTAAATCCCTCAGTGTAAAGTAGCTTCATATCGACACCTGTGATATAAATAAGCTTGAGTGGGTCAGGTTGGGAAACCTAGTGAGTACATAGGGTTTTCAACCCACAATAATTTAATTATTATGTTTAAACATCAAACAATCAACCCAATTACCCATCCCCATTATCTTCCTTACTCTTAAGGATCTACCCTAAGAATCATCTATCCTACATTCGTTCATTTCGAAGCCCATTGCTTCCAGGGTTTATATGATAGGCATTAAGTCCATAGCTGTCAATGCTTGTTCGTAAAACACTAATTCCATAGCTGCTAAAGTTCATTCATCGGGTACTCAATCCATAGCTACGAGTGTTTAGCTAATAGGTACTAAATCCATAGCTACCAACGTTTATTTAACATGTACTAAGTCCATAGCTACCAATGTTTATCTGATAGGTACTAAGTTCATAGCTACCAATGTTTATTCGATAGGCACTAAGTCCATAGATGCCGATGTTATTTGTTAGACACTAAGTCTATAGCTGCCAATGTTCACTCATATCATCTTTCATCTCTCATCATTCATCTACCCATGTTTTACCCAACATATTCGTAGATATAAAATACATATACAGTTTAAATTATTTAAAACATGTATAAAATCGTTCATCCAACATAGAAAGCAAGTATTTAAATAATATGCACACATAGCACGTAATTTATATAAAATACTTCATATCTATGTGTAAGATGAAAGTAACTATGCACTCATTTGTTAAAGTGATGATTCCAAACTCGGACAGCGCTTCGTTTCTTAACAATATAATTTCCTTCGACGAAACCTAGTATTATTACCACTAGATTTTAGTCTAATATTTACCGTGACTAATTATTAGTCTTAGTATTATTATTATTATTATTATTATTATTATTATTATTATTATTATTATTATTATTATTATATAAGCGTTTAAACAATATTTTCCAACCACTATGTACAGACAGGGGCCAGACATAAAACACCGGAGGGCATGACCATTTTGGCATATAGCATTTCTGAAATCCAACAACCTTATGCGGCCCTTTAAACCAGATTCCCCGTACTGCGAGTAGTTGAAAAAGATATTATAACGACACTTATATAAGTCATAATAATAGCTCAAATATTTATTATAAGTTCATAATAACAATACTAATTTTAAATATAAGTTATATTTAAAATAGGATAAGCATAACTTACTTACAAGGGAGTTTTAGCTAGGAGTCGGGCTCTGCAGGGGCAGAACTTCGTCGCTGAATCTTTCTAAGAAAGATTCTTGCAGCGCTTCAGCGCTCACCTTACTATACTAAAACTACAGAAAGAGAAGTCGAATCACAAGGGACCGAATAAGAAGGGAAAGACTCTTGAATCAAGAGAATGGTGTAAGAAATATGAGAGCTAGAGGCTCTTATCTATAGTGATTGAATTTTCAAAAACTACCCTTCATAGTTACTTAATGACCTTATAGTTATATAAATGACTAAACACCTCTTTATAATACTATTTTAAATAGATTTAATGATATTTGTACTAAAATAATGTCGAAAGTACTTAACACTAGTCTTATAACGACCGCATCGTCGATACCTTTCTAACGATATATACATATGTATATGTATGTATACGTATATATGATTTACACTTTATTTTAATACGTAAATGTGCTATTAAAAATTATAACTCGTTCATACGAACTTCGTTTTTGACGTTCTTTATATCCATGCGTAACTATCGACGAGATATACAACTTTCGTTTAGACTCCGTCGGCTAATTTTGAATTTATATTTTTGTCCATTTTTTTATAAAATTAAATGATTTTGCTAATAATCATAACTCTCTCGTACGGACTCCGTTTTTGGCATTCTTTTTCTCAAAATTTCTATTTTAAGGAGTACTACGATTTTCATTTTGGTCGCATTAGCTAAAAGTCAACCATTCTCTTCGTACCTTTTTACGCCATACATTCGTGGTGCGCGGCTGACTTTTATATCTTATAAAAATCATATCTAATTCATACGGATTCAGATTTCGACGAAATTTATATTTTCGGGATCATGACGACGTGTACTTTCTAAATATATAATAATATATATGTGTTTTGGCGCACTTATTTTTACGATTTACGGACGATTCGACTGATTTTTCATATTTTATTATATTATAATAATCATGAAACATATAATATTCAAATAATTATTCTTTATTACGTCAAATAGGTTATAATTGTTAACCCTAACTATTACTTTGGTTAAGATTATGTATCCTAGATAATCTTCTATAAAAAAATCATTTTTAACGCTTATTATTGACTAGCCCGAATCTGCGGGTGTTACACTTTCGTCGCTAGCCCATTGCTTTTCGAAGGTTGTGTAAATTCTGTTCCAATGTGCCACGAGTTTGTTAAAAATATTCCATTTCAAGTTACATTGGTCGGACGTCCGATAATATGGGTCTCGACCCATACCGATACAAAACCGTTTAGTAACACATAACCAAAATTGATCACGGGATTGGTCCTTACTGTGTTGCTATCTTCTGATATGTCGATCCATGCTCTTGATAATTTCGTCTAAATAACTATGTTGTTTAGTACATCTTGTGTATTATTCAATGCATATATTGGCCTAAAATCCCAACACCCTAACGTCGCACAGCCTGGCGCTTCCGCCGCCGGCCATGGGTTGGGTGTGACAGTTGCTAACAAGAAGAAGAAGGTTTCTCATTTCAAGGGTAAGACCAAGGTTGGACCTTCCAATCAAGGTCTCACGAGTAAAGATGACTCTGGGATAGTTCCTAACACCGACCCAAAATAGGCCATTTGATTTTACTGCCAAAAGAAGGGTCACTGATGACGTAGCTTCCCAAAGTACCTTGAAGACGTGAA